TAATAGGCTTTCTGTTTCTTAAACTACCTACATTTGTCAAAGTATTTATGAATTTTCGAAAATATTCATCCACTAGTTTTATTGTTGGAATGAAATATAGCAAGACTTGCATTACCTACTAAGAAAGTTAGTAGCCGGTAGTCATCGGGTTAAAGAAAACAGAAATTGTTGTTCAAACTGTTTAGGTTAGAATAAACATTTGAGGGCCAAAACTGGATGGAAATTATGAGAAATAATACATGTATAATTTGCAATTTGTAGTAAGAAACTTCAAGCTGTTACCATAAGCTGTGAAAATGTCATACAAGTTTTTTCTGTGAAAATATCCATTAAATGAAACCCTGAGTATTCAACAAGAATTTGAAGCTTATCTTGGCACTTGAAAAGAAATTAGCTCACAGTAGTGAAAATTATTCAGCTGTGATGATTGAAAAAGAGGCATCTGATACTGTACTTCCCTCCACTCACAAGATTAGCTATTCTCGTCCAGTGCTGCCCTCTATATGCATATTTTTCTTTACACATTACACAAGCTTTCCGCTCCCCCTATTGGAATTGAATGATTCCAACATGTCTCTCGTGTAAATCATCATGCATCACTTCTCCACCAATAGGAGTGTGACATACATGATGCATGTGACTCCCTCTATACTCCTTTACCGAACTGTCACTTTTCGTTTGGCAGCGCTTATGCTCCGACGGGTTCCTTTTTGTTTCTTTAAAGTTTCATGTTCATCTTTTGTATACTCATCAAGTGGTCTTCATTTATTTTCACTTCTAGTCTCTGTTAAGACTCTTTCTTAACTTCACTTTAATCCTAGTTGCAATATTACAGTCACATTGTTATTTATGCTTTAGATTATTGGCTGACTTTGGGGGTCACACCTGCAACTAGCACTATGTCTCAGGCTTCAGTTGCAGGTGACCCAGCGGGAGATTTATCCACATTTATTCACCGGGAGATTGAACATTACATGGGTCAACCTCTGTTTCTGGACACTGCCCCACTTCCTCTCGAACAAGCTGAGCCTGTTCAGGTGGATGAGGACTTGGATCACCTATTTTCACCACTTGATTTTGCCGTGCCTTCCCATGCCCCACCTAAAGAGTCAGTTAGGCCTACTATGGTCTTTTTGGATTTTGTCTCTCAGGTGTGTGATATTTCATCCCTTGACCCTATGAACCGTGTCGTTCCTTACTACGTGACCAATTTTCCCATCCCTATTTAGTTTCCCACTCCCTGGATATTCAGGTACATGGTAACCAATTTGCCTCACAATTAAATGACAGAATTAGCATGCAGATCAGTTTGCTCTTGCATATCATCGTGCAGACTGTCGTTTTATGGACCAGCAATTGTTAGGTTCCATATTGCCAGTTTGGGGTGCAGTCCCCGAATCTCCTGTAAGTCTGACCCATGCCTAATTTTCCCACCTTCGTCTTACCCTTAAAACTCTTTTACGGTATCTCTCTACCATCCATCTCATCTCTGCAGCTCTCCACTGAAATCCTCTCCCTTCCTTCCTCCACATTGGGTAATTTGTTGTCTTCAGCTCTTGCTTTACATATGTGGTTTCTCTGTTGTTGGGACCTTCTAGGTCATGATGTGACCTTAACTCGCATCATTTACCATCATCTTATCTTCTGGATTAATGTATGGTCCCATTTATGCGGTGATACATCTTTGACACGATCCCTGAGTCTTTGGAATTATGAGTTGCATCAATACAACAATAGTCTGCCCTTTCCAACCTTGTTACCCATTTGTCTCAGTTGGAGCCAGTATTGCACCTGTTACTGTTTCCATCCATCCCCTTCCCAACCCTTACCTGTCCCTTCTTCTCGGGATGTCTCATCTCATCATTATTTTTTCACAATGCTCGTTACTTGTCAATGATATCAGTGACAATCTGATGGTTTCTGGTCCAGTGGGAGCTCGGCTTGCCTATTTTCTTCATCATTGGCATTCTTTCCTCAAGGATCATTGGGGTTTTCAAGTTTTATTGGAAGGATTCATGATCCCATTTATTCCCCACCTCACATGTCTCTCATATCTGTTTTCTTCCCTCTGCCTTGGGATCCCATGACCAGCCAGCATCTGTTGGAGGCAGTTCAGGAACTACTATCTCAGCAGGCCATCAAACCTGTTTGACATTCTTCACCAGATTTTTAATACAGACTCTTTGTTGTTCAAAAAAAAAAAACGGGCTGGAGGCCTGTCATCCATTTCTCCAAATGACTTGCTTCTTCTGGCTCATTACAAACTGGAGTTGGCCAGCCATAATCGTCAGCTTCTTCTAGTGGCTGCTCTGGTATGCTGGTTAATCAAAATGGATAAGTCCTTCCTTCAACCTACCCAATGTCTTGTCCACTTGGGTGTCTTTTTCAACACACATCTCAGTCAAGCCCAACCTTCTCCTCTACAACTTTGTTCCAGGAAACTGTTAGTTTGCCATGCCCTTTCAACTCCTCTCTTTCTATCACTTTTGGGGATGTGGTCTTCAATGACATCACTGGTTCCCCTCCATCATATGCATATGCGATCCCTTCAGTGGGCTCTTTACAATCAATGGAACCTTGCCCAGGATCCCTTGGCAGCTCCCATTACCCTTCCTCAAACCCTGATAGATGATCTGCATTGGTGGTTGGACAAGTCTCATACATCAGTGGGCATCCTGCTTCCTCCTCCTCATCTGGATTTACATCTTTTCATGGACACGTCCCTTCAGGACTTGGGTGCATGGATCATTCACCAGGAGGCTTCAGGTCTTTGGTCTGTAGACGAAAGATCTTTGCAGATCAATGTCCTCGAGGTTCTCACAGTCTGTCAGGATTTGAATCACTTTCTTCCTCTTGCCAGACATTGTCTGGTGATGATTCATTCTGACAATTCAATGGTGGTAGCACATATCAGTCACCA